TGCTCTGTATTCTTGGTGCTTGGGGAGGGGGGGCAACAATGGGAGGGCTTCTAGTCTCCTGGCCCCACTGCTGGACCTCCTGATGGCACCTGGTATTTTGGGCCACTGTGTGACAGAGAGTGTTAGACTGGATGGGCCATTGGCCTGATCCAGCATTGGCTTATCTCTTATGTTCTTAGGAAAGGACAGTTCTGCCACTAATTTGACCAGGGGACATGTGGGAAGTTCCAGGGCAGGAGCTGTTCACTCCCTGCTGGTTACATGCACACTTTCCAACCAGGGAAAATAGTGGCGCCCAGGTCCGTTATAGATTGGGAGAACTGTGCCGGGGGTGTGTGTGTGTGTTTTGGGGCTTCAGCGGCCCTCCTCAGGCCATGGTCCTGATCCAAATGGTGCCCCCATTTGGAGAACCGCTAATACAGAACTTGGTTGCATTGTCCGGTCAGACCTTGACTGGTGGATCTTTGGTGGCGTCAAGGGGCCGTCGTTCGACGGACAGATTTTTGATTGCTGCTGGCCTTCCCTGTAAGTAAGAAGAGCTACAATCTTAAGCGTGCTCGCAAGGGAGTAAGTCTCGTTAGGGTCATTGGGATGGATTGAACTGAGTGCCGCTTGTCTGTTACCGGTTGTAGGCGTGGTGGCAGTTTCAGGCCACGTCAGACAAAGTGGCCGGAGGAGGGGGAGGGCATTTGAATGGCTGCTCCACAACGCAACAAAATCCCCTTCTCTTGGAACGCTGGGTGTTTGGAGAGGGGCTCTACCAAACCTTCCCCCTGACGTAATACTTCTTATGTGGACAAGTGTTCAGTCACCTGCCCCCTGGAGAGTACACCTCAGGCACAGGTTCGTCTCCTTGCGGACAGTGAGGCCATCAAGTCAGCAGTGTGGGGAAACTTACCTGGTGTTGCGAGTCCGGCCTACATGATAAATAAGAGCGAGGCCTCTCTGTTGGCAGGTGGCTTCTGTTTCAGGTCCTGATTACACCGTGGCGATCTGAGCCTTTCCCCCTTCTTTCCCCATCCTTAAGCATCCTGCCCCCCGATGTCCTAGGTTCGCTTTTGTGGGCCCAGTTACACCACCTTCCCCACTCATGGTTGGATATGATGTCGCTCCACAACAGTCATTTGCAGCTGGAGTTTTCCGCGCAGACGAGGCACGTGCGCTAGCAAACCACGGCTGTATTGCGGTATCCGAATGTGTGGTAGCAGCTTTGGTCTCTCTGTCTCGTCTCCTGCCTTCTGGCCAAGGTCCGAGTTGTGGCAATTAACTGGGGGTGAGTCTGCAATTGTTGCCTCGTACTTCGGTCTGATGGCCTTAAGGTTCGGGATGTGGAATTCTTGTGTCTGACTGGCGTATTTATTCAGAGATGTCCAAGGGTCAGACATGGGCATGGGAAAATTTAAGCCTCTTTGCTGTGCTGCTTGCATTCCTCGGATATCTTAATTGTTGATCTATGGAGTGGGGATTGATGCACACCTCTTAACCCTCTAGCATCTTGGCGTTGGTGCGCAGTTTTCCAAGTGAAAGGACTGTACGTGGGTGCCTACAGAGGACTGCCTTTGGCCTGCGTTTGTATCGGTTGTCTCTTTTTAAAGATAGGTCAGGAGAAATCTTGGTCAAGATAGAGCACGGGAAATCTCTCATTAAGTTGTGTGATGCAACCAGCGTGCAAGCGGTTGCGTTGAGACAGAGCCCTTGAGTCTGGGGGGGTTGCGATTTGAAAGGGGTTGCCCCACCTCTTCTGGTGTCGTGCACTAGGGGATTTCACCACCTGACCAAGAAGTTAGACAAGGGTTTGATTTTTATTTTATTTTTTTTAAAAAACAGCCTTACTTTTCTAAGCTTGACAGTGTTGTTCTTTTTTTTCTGTGTGTGGTTTTTCAAACAAAACACACCTTGCCAGGGCGAAATCCCTGTGCCGTGTCGGAAAGTGGCCATGCCGGTATGCTAGTGAGAGTGAGTCCGCCCGCAGATGCTCTGCCGTTCCTTTTCCCCTGTGGGGTGGGGTGTGCGAGTAAACAAAGCCACGGCCCGGCCAGGAGCTGTTGCTATGCTTCCAAACAGAATATCTCCTCAAAACGATTATGCAAGGCTGCAATGAAAACATCCTCTCAACTGGAGGTAGCATGAGTGGTCATAATTGGGCCTTTGTTTTGGGTCTCCCCCCCCCCTTTTCTCCT